AACTTCTACTTTCATACTCACTTAAGGGTCATTGTAACTGGTGTTAATAATAAGAATGTAAAACGTGATAGTTTCGCATAAGGTTATCGTACAGTGTAGATCTGATAATGTTGCAACCCCAGAGTTTAACTATCCACACTTCTATATGAGTTGGCTGCTTCTGGCTCTGAAACTGAAAAAAATTTGTATAGTTGAGTTTTTGGCCACTTTGGTGGAACAGAACAAGCTGTAAATACAACCAGAATAGGTGTTGTGGGGAATGTCCACCACAAAACTAAACTCTAGTGTTTTTTTATCCACACCAACTCCTGAGAAAAGCTTTTTCATCTTTTTAGCTGCTAAATGTTACGCTGTTTGTTGTTCGCTCTTTGTTGCTAACACTGTCTGTGTGCCATTTGGTGCTGGGCAGATCGTGTGCAGTGGGTTTATTGGAGCTGTCTGCAGCTGCTGCTGGAAATTAAGTTGATCAGAGCAAAGTTTGTGGACCAGAAAAATCACGAGGGGAGCTGCAGATGTGGGTCGTAATTCTTTGGTTCTGTCACTAAAAGACACCAATTTTACATGATACAGTAATTTGATCCATTGTTAATATAAGAAATATACTAAAAATACACCACAAATACAGGTGCTACATCTGTCCTCACTGACTGTATATTGCTCTGGTTTTTATTCTCCCTTTCTCCGTGCCTCAACTCTTTTCTCTCCCTTGATGTGCATATCTCACTTCCTCTCACATTTAATTCCCAGTCTCTCCCTGTGCACCTCTCCTTCTCTCTCCCCCTTCATCTTTTTTTTCCACCTTCACACTTTTATCCTGGCAGACAGACTTGTGGAGATGTGAGCTACGAGGCTAGAGAGCAACGGTGGGTGTTTAAAGTCTGCAGAGCTCATGTACACTTTGTACCCTCACAGCCTTGAAATTTTCAAAACTTTCCCAAGAGCTAATTTGCATCATGAGTGTGGGTTAGGATGTCTATTTTGGGTCACACTAATATACAGAGAGAGTATTCCTTTCTTTTTTTCTATGGCTGAAAGCAATTCAGCAATCTCATGGCTCTTCTCCACTATTGAAATTAAAGAATCCCTCACAAAAGCAATTGGAAAGTGATAAAAAAGATTATAAAATGCACTTTAAAGATATAAACCGGAGAGGAGCAATATGGATCCAAATAGTATACCGACACCAGTGATATATATATATAAAGTAAATCATTGCCCACATCACACACTGGAAATTAGATTCTTCACAATTTCATATTTCAATTTCAAAGTGCAAACAACAACCAGTCTCGGATTCAGTCAATAACAGGTGCATTCAATCTCTACTATAAGGATACCTTAGGGAGCTGGGTGAAAAAGACTGCAAATATTACTATGACCACTGAGTGATGCTAAGAACAAAATGTCTATTTACACATGGCAGTCACATGGCTCATAATAAGAGAGTGAATCACCCTCAAAATGATTCACGCTAATATCAATCAAGACACAAAAAAACATCTCTCAATAGTCCACAGACAATAATTAATCACCATAAACCACAAAAAAGGAGCTCATTCATGTACTGGACAATTAAAGGTTTCATTCAACCAATGTGGCTCTATTGTGTTCATTGTATGAAACCACTAGGCTGCCTCCGAGGATGGGAGTTCTGGGGAAGGAAACAGAATCATAAGCATGAATATTAACTTCTAAATGCGCTTTGTAACTATAGCATTGTTTCTCTGAGTATCGTTTCATGACTTTAAAAATGGTAAAACTAATGAAAAAAACTCCAATTACAGTATTTTACTTTAAGGCTAAACAATACCATGAATCATTCTATTGTACAACTGGCCCTATTTAGCATTTATAAGCTCTATAAATTCATATATCACATATAATGATGTTCTAATCCCATATAAGTGTTTATTAATGTATTTGTCAACTCCTCCTGTGGGCTCCCATCAGTGGATGCTGCTGTATAAACACATAATAAATAAGGAAAAAATAACAAACAATAGAGTAAAAAACAGTTGTAATAATATGGAACACATCTTCATAGGAGAAGTTAGAATTGTTGACAAATACTGTGCATTCATAAACACTTAAATTGAGTGTTAAGTGTGCCTGTAAACACTAAATGGTTGGAGGGGGATTTATTTGCCCCAGTAGATTTGCCTACAGATTTATTTCAATGACAACAAGATCAAAAGTTATATGGAAGCCACAATGCACTCTGGCAAAATGAATGACTGTTAATCTAAATGGTAATACACTATTCCCCCAAATAATGCCCTGGAGATCTACTAAAGCCCCCAACAATTCACACTACTTCTTGACAAAAAGTCCATTATGTTAATGTTGCCTGGCAACAGGACTCCATACAGTACAGGAAAGAAAAAAAAAAAAAAAGATTTCTGGCTAATATTGATTTATACCAATATTGGTTCCAGGAAGTAACAGCTGGATCACTTTAAGTTTCAACCGTTCATTTCTCGTGTCTTTGAAACTGCCAGAGGAGCGGGCCAGAGAGCAGCAGAGGGGCGACAGCAGGGAGCAACATCGACTCCAACATGATAGGAGTAAAGGCAAGCTTTTCGAATCAATACAGCCTGCAGCACAGCACAATCTTTACCCCATCTTGACTCAACCTTGCTTTATTCACCGTTTCTCTGTCATTTTGCACTTTACTCACTGTAAAGAGTAACACTGCAGGATTCAGTCCCCACTGCGTTGGCTCAATACTCTTTACATCATATAGCTGCCTTTGAATACCCCTCTTTTCCAATATGATTCACTTTGTAGTTGCTTTAAGTATTTGTATCAGTGCACTGGCCAGAAAGGTACAGAATACTGGGCCCGGTTGCCTAAGCTACCTAACGTTTCTGACTTAAGTTTTAAGTTTGTTCCTCATGCAAAATATTTCCCTAAGCTGTGGGGTTCACTTAGGAGCGTTGCATAAAGCCTCTTAGGTTGTCTCCAATTTAAGTGTTTAGAAAAGGGATCTAAAACAAAATACAATATAATCTGGCCCGCAAGATTCGGTCCTTTATTTGTTGTTGTGGCTGTGAACAACAAAGATGATATAACAATGGTGATATAAAAATGTTGAGAAACTTCTGTGTTAAATGATGTTAGTAATGGAAATATGTTCAAAATATTGCACTTTCTTGTAGATGACACAACCAGCAGCGGCAACAAGACAGTTTGAGTGTGAGACCCTCAGTTTGGACTAAGGCATTTACGAATATGGAAAGCACAACACACATAATCCAAAGTAAATGTAACCCAGCCACAACAAAAACGAACGTTGAAACGTACCATAGACGCAGTTCTGAAGAAATATAAAAATATTACTGTGACAGCAAGAAAGGAGATAACAAAATAAGACAACAATAAAACAATATAGCTAATATTAAGTTGAGTTGTAAATGTTTGGCTAGCTAGCTGCAAAGTTGCTAGTGCAAACTGAGGGTCAAATCTAGATTTTGCTCATAGTGTCCAGTGGGGTTTTCCCTGTCAGCTGTCTTATGTTATTTCCCTTTAAAAGGACTGCTATAGGTCCCTTATATTTATATATTTATAAACCTTCTAGCAATGCTTAAGGGAACACTTAGCTAAGGGCAAAAACTTCGAGATCAAAGGGTTTCCCCTACAACGTCCTAAGGAAATCCTTATGGTGATTTTATGCAGCTAATTTCTTTCTAAGGCATCCTGAGCTGAGAATTCAAGGGCAACCTCTGAACCTCTGAGAGTGTTTTTATGCAACCGGGGTCTGTTTACCTACGACTTGTCATCATTCATTTTCACTGCATCACCATCTAACTCCCTCTCTTCCACCCAGTTCTCTATATCTCCCTCATACATTTGTAAATACATCCCCTACACCTCCCTCTCTCTCCAGCACCCATTCTAACACGGCAAAGCACCAGCTCCATACACTCCCATTGGCTGGCAGTGACATCACTTGTGCAATGTGTCGAGTCAGACTCCTTCTCGCTCTCTCTGAATGCTGATGCCCCCTTGTGTCCGTAATGGAAACTGCAGTTATCGTTTAAAAACACTGCTGTGGTTTCCAGTCTACTAATTAACCGTTACAAACACTCTTTTTACGTGTTCAACACCTGCAGAGAAACGGAAATACGCTGACCCCAGATCTGTCATGATGAGTGACTTTCACCTTCTTCTAAGCCATCTGATCCCACACAGAAACCGAGGATGTTAGCAAAGTAAATTGGCTTATGTTGAGTCTGGCTGCACAGACCATTAGAGTGAATTAGACTGTAAGCCTTCCTGATTATCAAAACTAACAGGATCATGTTCAATCTCTTCTCTCTGCCTCTAATGGTTACTTACTGCACGGTGTAATCTGCCCTCTGCTGTTCTCAGGTTACAACAGCATCATTCTGCATCACTACAATCTGATACACTGCTTGATGTTTACATTAAGGTTGTTTGTTCATGTTATTGTTTTGTATGTTTAATTATATATTAAAAAATCTTTAGAAACTGTCATGCACTGTAAAATCCCCCAACAATTACTATGACTGTAAAAGATAAATTCAGCATAGGGCATAGGGATAAATAATTAAAATTAGATTAATAGATTAATATGCAGATTTTTTTTCAGTTCATTGATTCATTTGTTTGTTTTGTTTTTTCCAAGCAACTGTTCAAAACCCCAAAAGTATTCAGTTCACTATATTAAGACAAGGACAAGCAGCAAATTCTTACATTTGAGAATCAAGGACCATAAAAATGATTTGGCATTTCTGCTTTAGAAATTAAGAAATGATTTTATGTAATTAACAAAAGTGTGCTTGTAGTGACTGTGAAAGGAAACATGAGGGTGAGTATGATGTGTGACACAGATCACAGACCAGATTCAAAGAATGGAATCTGGTCATTGAAAGAAAGGAAGCATTTGGAATTTTGACCTTGGAAACAGCTAAAGTCCTGCACTGGAAACGTAAAAGTCAAAATAATAATAAGTCAGATCTGCATTTAGTGTTTCCTACCTTGCGGCTGGTGTAGTGGGCGTGTTTGGCCAGCTTGCCATTGAGTCCTTGGAGGAAAACCTCATCCGTGACTTTGCCCACATTCATACAGGCTTCGTCCAGCACAGAGAAGATGCCTTTATGCTGCTGCTCCACCAGATCCACAATGATCTGGTTATTGAAGTAATCGATCTAACAACAAAAGGACACAGAGCATCAAAGCTACTGAATTTTGCTCTGTACTATTTGAAAAGATCAGGAGACATCCAACTTCCACTGAATAATAAATAACTCAAAAGAATATCCTCCATACATGTTTCCAGGGGATGCCTTCCCGTTGATACTCTTCCTGTTCCTGCTTCAGCACCAGCTGGATGAAGAGCTGCTGCAGCTTTTCATTACAGTAGTTGATGCAGAACTGTTCAAAGCTACGGCACATGAAACAGAGGAGATTGAATGTTATCTAATGTGTTACGGATTCGACAACATGCGTTAATATTTCTATACAGATAGATTGTGGTCCTTGTGTTACAACCACTAAAATCATGTTAAAATGGTCAATATGGGAATAAAAGTAAATTATTATGTATATATGATGTTTTGTATTGGTGGAATATTCTGTCTCATTCAAACCTGTTGTTCTGGAAAATCTCAAAACCATAGATGTCCAGCACGCCGATGACTGTGTTCTTCCCGTGGACCCTGGCATCGTAGTTTTTCACCTCAATGATGTCATTGATGCGTCCCACAATCCAGCAGAACAGACGCTCATACATGGCCTGAGGACGACAAAATGTTAGACGTAACAAGTGTGTAGTAGTTGACTAGTTGGCTGCTGGCTGGTGAGCAAGTGCCTTGCTCAGGGGCACAGAGTAGTCTAGGACAATTAACAGTTACAGATGGGTCCGCTGCAAGGGAAATATCACGATATCAGTGAGTCAGACTTCAGTTTGCAGCACACAGCGCTGGTCTTCAATCTGCCTACATACATTGTTTCCTCCACAGCCTCCAGCCTCTGTCTGGGGTCATAACATTGTGACTCATGCGTGTGTGAATCAGTGTGAATCGCAGTAAAAAATATCGCCAAGTACTTCAGCGAAATGTCACAACCCTCCAGGCATCGGCAGGCCAGTGATGTTGTATTTTTTTCTTTTTTGTGCAGCCCACAACAGATAAAGTGCCTGACAGACGACCAACAACATGTAATTATCCATCAACCCAACAATAACCTTGGCTAGAGCGTCCCGCCCGTAGCTGGCCTCTTGCGTCGTATGCTGTTTTTCGATGACGTCTCGACCCGTGGCCACAGTGCGGTAGAGCAGGGCCTTCTCCACGTTTTCTTCTTTGGTGGACAGCAGCTCCCTGATCACGGACACCAGCTTTGTGTTCTCTATCAAGGTCACATCACCATCCACCCCGAATGTCAGGTTGCCCTAGAAGAGAGGCCAGAGAGGATGGATTAATGCTTCGATCTCTGCATTTGAGTGCAACTACCTGGCAGGAGAATTAACCCAACATACATGTTTTGATGGTGGAGCCTGAATGACCCTCAGATTGCACAAAAGTACGTCCACAAACTGAGAAGTTTCAAAAAGTAATGGGACCGCTTTTTGATTCACTTTTTGTATTGCTTCATCTTCTAAATGTTTATCTTTGGTTGTTCTAAATATGTGTATTCGTCACTGGCCTTTGGACATCTTGTACCTTAAGATAATATCTGTTTATGTGTCAAACTTGAGATATAACATGTTAACTGGAAAATAGGTCGACATTTTTTAACTCAGGACAGAGCCAGACTAGCTGTCTCCTCCTGTTATCTGTCTTTATGCTAAGCTAAGCTATTCGCCTGCTAGCTCTAGCTCGACAGTATGACATGGGAGTGGTATTGATCTTATCAAACTCTTGGAGACAGCGAATTAACATATTTCTGACTGAATGTTTACTTGGGCTTAAATTGAGCACTTCCTAAGAAATTGTCAAGAAATTACGGATCCTGTAAAATAAACCATTACCAACACTGTTTGTTAGATTAATTGTGAGCTGCTTTTGCATTGGACCAGCATACAGTGGTAATAAGAAACAAAAAATAAACAAACAGGTGCATTTTCAAATCCTCTGACTCACTATCTAGGCATTGACACTAGTCCACTTCTCCAATATGGCACTCATTTGTCTAAAATCCATACACAGAACTCCCACATTGGGACACAGCTGGCGTTAGACATTAGCAGGGGATTTGATATCATGGAGCGTTACCAGATGTAGGATGGTGGCCAGAATCTTGTAAACAGTCTGAATCTCATCCCCCGTGAAACCGATCACTTTCATGGCATCAGCAACAGCTTTGAAATCAGCCCCATCATTGATGCCAGACTGGATAGAAGAGAGAGAGAGAGAGCGAGAGAGAGAGCGAGAGCGAGAGCGAGAGAGAGAGAGAGAGAGAAGAAATGAGAAGGATGACAACAAATTACTGAAAGGGGATAATGTTAAAGTCAGCTTTTTAAACATTTTCCTGCTGAAGCAAATCTATATTTTAATAGACTCCATTTTTCGTGCATGTTTTTTTCCTGGAGCAACAAGCCTTTTCCTTTCTCCCCCAATTAATCTAGCCGGGATATCAAATATCCACAGTTAATTAAATTACAAACCGGTGCTGAACTGTGAGGTCTCGTTATATAAAAATAGGAGACGCTGAGGCACACAGTGTACAAACCGCCACCTCAGCTGTTTGGTTGTATTGTGTTCCATGACATCAGGCTGTTTGTTGCTGTCGAGTGGTTTTGTTCCTACTCATTAAGCTCGTGCAAAGATGGCGGCACACAGCAGAGGTCTAAATAAAGACACCTCTTCTGTACAGCAACACAGTGATGATTACAGAAATACTTTCACTACATTTTATACTTTCAAAACGTTGTAAACTGTGGTGAGGAAACACACATCTGTAAGCTGTGTGCTTGGTTGTATTTATGCCTCTGTAAACAAACTCAATGTCACACTGACACTCTCTCAGACTCTTTTTGGGGTTTTCATACCACTTCTATTTGTCTGTCTGTTCGCATGTGGGTGGAATTGTATGTTCATTGTTTGGAGTACCTTAATCTGGCCTCCAACTTTGATGTAGTTGTAGGCTGTCGGGTCCCTCTGGATGTGAAGAGAGCGTAACAGGGAATCTGGAGCTCCTTTGAGCAGCTGGTGGAAGACCAGAATCACACAAACCTTACTTACAATACTTCATACAGCACCCTTGTTTGGTTGAAGCTAGTGCTGCAACTAACAGTTATTTTCATTATCTGTCATTTTCTCTAATTGACAGCTCTAGTTTTTGCTATTATATAGCTACAACTACTTTACATGGTGCCAACTGTAATTATACTTATAATGTACATATTGCAGCAGAGTTGTTAGCCTTATATAGAGAAGAAACAAATATTGGCCTCATTTTCAACTCACTAAACTCAAAAGTCCTCTTGAAAATGATTGCATGCACACACATATTGTACATATGCTCCACATATATACCACACAGGTGCACACACACACACACACACACTTACCTGGTAGTATGAATGAAAGCTCCTCTCTCCTGGCTGTTGGAAAATGACCCTGGACTGTTGGGGAAGAAAGCAACATACAAAAGCAGGACAGTGTAAGACAACAGGTGTCTTAAAGCCACAAAAAAGAGAGGGAAGTTTGTCTAATTACTACCTTTTCACTATTACTGCCTAGACCAGTGGTTCCCAATGCAGCAGTTCATTCATAAAGTCAAGTTATTTTCTTAGATTGCTTGATTTTAAAAGTTTTTGCAAACCTGAAAGGGGAAAACTTCACAATAAAAAAGCCAAAAATAGTAGAAAGTAGTAGTTTTTATTTCCCTGCAGTATCTTGTTTATCATCTCAGATTTATAGTATCCTGCAACCCTTGTGGGGCCTTCCAGACCCCCAGGCTGGGAACCACTCAGAATAAAGAGGAACATGACCACCATTGGGAGTTTATAACCACAGTTGGAAAAACATTTTGAGAAGATGCTTGACTGAAACATCCTACTGTATAATAAAAAGTATTAAACCCTTTGTTAAATGAAAAGAACATAACATGTACTTAAGACAGACTACTATAATGTTAAACAAACTACCTTCTACAGTAGGTACAATAGCATCTGCACTTACAATACACTCTTTATTATATTAAATTAATTTCAATTTAACCATGTAGTAGGTATGACTACCCTTCGTTTCATCTCTGAGGGTAGCTGACACGCCTTTACCTTTTCCAGCAGGTAGTTGTTGATGTGGCCTCCGATGGGATCTCCTTTGAAGTCAAAATTGATGTCCATGTACTTGCCAAAGCGGCTGGAGTTGTCGTTGCGGTTGGTCTTGGCGTTCCCGAAGGCCTCCAAGACACAGTTGGATTTAAGCAGCATGTTTTTTACCCTGCGGGGAGGCAGGATGATATTACAGTTTGAGAGGCTGACTAAGTACAACCAGCTTAATACACTGACTCATACTGTGAAGCTGTGTGAGAACAAACCCCATCTGCAGACCCCCATTGTGTGTACTGAAATCTGTCCTCTATAGCATTTTATTTTATACCTTCTTAAGAAAATGAATCGACTTTATAGTATATTATTATTATTATATTTAGATATTAATGGAGCATTTAGCAAATAAAGACTTTGATATTTATCATGTTGTGAGAAACACAACTCTAAATGAATGCTAATGTTGCTCAGTGACTGCAGAATTAATGTTAATAGGCAACTGCTTACTAACATGTTCCTATATCAACTTTGTAAGATGATGATGTGCCACTGTTGGGTTTAGACGTTGTGCTGCCCCCTAGTGGCAAAAAAGAAAATAATGCAGTTGACAAAGTAACAGAAGTATGAATCACATGTAGAAATCCTGAGCAGACATAGAGCTGTCCTATCAGTTTGTGTATGTGATATTTGCCCACAGTGTGTGTAGATTTGTGCAGCGGTGGTAGTTTGCACCCAGTTGATTCTATACAGCCAAATGTATCAGCAGCACTGTTTAACTGGAACTGTAAAGTTGACCTTAAAACCTTTCCCTGCGCAAATCTTATCGTAATCTCTGACCTACATTTACTTTGAATACAAGCATATCTCTTGCTTTGCTCTTTATATCTATCTAGTTGATTTCAACACACTTTAAATATGACCATTCTGTAATGTTGGCGCAATTTCTTCTCTGGAGTGACAGGTCCACGCCCACTCAGGTATCAGTGATATGGCGCTGTTGAGTTTTAATTATATCTCACTATGATCTATGAGACTTGACTACTGGCAGTGTTCATTCCTGCAATGTGACACTGACTTACTTAAAATAGCTGTGATAAGATAATAAAGTTGACCTGTAATAAACAATGCTTCACTGGCTGAGAATGAGCCATGAAGTCAGGCACTAAAAATGAGTTAAACAACTTTTCTTGTGGGTAGAAAGAAAATAATTATGAGCATTTGTTTTCATTTGTACACTCTACGGTGAACATTTGACACTGTTTTCACCTTACATCAAAATATCATGTATCTCATTTGAATACACAAAACACATCTTCCTGCAAGGTATAAAAGGGTTTTTTGTGCAATAAGATCAATGCTACGCAACAAGTGTAATACATGAATCCACAGAAACACACCCTCCGTGTCTGACAATATTTGCCGTTTATTCACCAAACCAAGCTTGTGGCCATACAGTGTTCTGCAGTGTGCCGAGGTTCAAACTGTGTCTCTAACAGTAACTCACCTTTCAACTTCAGCCCTCTGATTGGGATTGGTGATAGCAGCGATGTATTGCATTATATACTTGCTGGCCTCTGTCTTTCCCGCTCCACTTTCCCCTGCAATAAAGAACACAGGGCAAATATTTTATAATAAATCAATAAATAAATATAATAATAAATAAATAGATTCGCTATTAATCATTATGACACAGTTTGCTTGCCTTGTAAATTAAACTGCCGAATCACAAGTGATTTAGATAACCAAACATTCAAAGGAGGTCAAAATTGTAAATATAGAAAAATTAAAATAACGTTGATACGTTGATTGACAGTTTATTTTTCTGCTTCAGGCTCATTCATTTGGAAATCGTTACGGTGTAGCATGGTATTGTGCTATTGTTCAGTCCACCACACCAATTTTCATATTTTAGTGATATTATTAGACCAAACAGTATTCCTGTCTCTGTATGGATTAATGACATGATATCAGGGTTTAGAGGAGCTCAGTTCTCCCTCTGACCACTGAGTGGTGCTTCATCCTCTGCATGGATCCTCCATGCTGCCGCACAGCATGTGTGACACATGAAATATTTGTTTTTAGAAAAAATGCTTTGATTTTCAATTTAACAGGTTTTATTAATATTTTTCAAGATGTCTCTTCTCAGGGGAGAAAACATCTGAGTATAAGAGGAAACAATGGATTATTATAGTAGAACTTTATGTTTATATTATAAAGGTAGGTATATACTGTATAGGTATAGATAGGATATAAAATGCTCAGGAAAAAAAATGATCTCAGACTTGTAGTTGTATATAAATTGAACAGTGAACCAGAGAGTAAAACATCTCTGTGCTTTTCGTCTGGCCCACACAGGGGGGCTTCCCGTGTTACCTGAGATGACAATACAAGTGTCTTTGTTCCTCCTCTTCATGGCTTTGTAAGCAGCGTCAGCGATGGCAAAGAGGTGGGGCGGCCTCTCATACAGCTCGCGGCCCTTGTACTGCTCTATGGTGTCGCGGCCGTAGATGTTCATGGCACGGTAAGGGTTGACAGACACCACCACCTCTCCAATGTAGCTGTAGATCCTCCCCTTCTCAAACCTGAGGACACAGAACAATGGAATATAATCAAATTAGATGTGGAAGAAACTTGTGGAACTGTTGCGTGTTTCTGTGTTAAAGCTTTAAATATTGTAAGTATAAGTGTTTGCATGGTCCAGTATTAAATACAGAATCTTTCATTACTCAAAAACAGGACATTACAATATTAATGAATCGCAATAGTTTTAAATTGCCAAGTCACATGGTATTTGAAGGCCCCTGCCTCCCTGCGTCCACCATGCAGGAAACTCCAAAAGAAAAAGTAAATAATTACCTTTATCAAGAGTATGAAATGTTAATTTGTAATCTCAAAACAAATCATAAATAGCCATCACAATTTTGCATGTTACAATCTGACAGAAGGCGGTTTCTATCACACCCTCTATCACTGTCAAAAGGAAGTCACTATAATAGACACCAAAAATGTGTCTAGGAAAAGATCCAGTTCCTGCTCCTCCTGCTCCGTCAACATGTTTTCGTGTTAATGCCGCAGCAAATGAGCTTCTAACTTTGTGGCAACAGTTTGTGTTTGTCTCTTTCCCGCCAGGACCATAAAGAAATAGTTTCCCCAGTTTGGTGTGGAAGAACTTGCCTGGCCTGTAAAGAGGCCTGACCTTAACCCCATTTAACACCTTTGGGATAAATATGAACTCTGACGCTGATTCCCAGCATCAATGGTGGCTGAATCCCTGCATCCAGGTTCCAAAAACTGGTGGACAGACTGAAAGACTGAAAGACTGAAAGAGTGGAGGCTATCACAACAGCAATGTGTGTATTTATGTGTGTATATGTGTTTATGATAGTTGGTTTATGTGTGACATTCATATGTATCAGGTGAGCACCAAAACACTATAAAACTTTATGATCATTATTATTATATGGCTGCTCTCTCTCTCTCTCTCTCTCTCTCTCTCTCTCCCTCTCCCCAGGCCGCCTGCCTGACTTCCTTCCTCTCCAAAGAGGACTAGTATCCCAGTGTCTCCCGACAGAAGAAAGGTCTCTTTTATTCACAGCTGCCAAACCTCTGCCGCTGTCTTGCAAACAAGGCCAAAAGCGTATTATTCCACAACGGTCCTAAAAAGGCCTACATAAAGTATTTGTGATTGTGGGTTTGATGCAATTGCCAGATAAACTCAATCAAGCACTCGTTTGTTTAAAGACTTGTCAGATATTGAGATATCAGTTGTTGAACTAAAATGCTGAATTGCTGGTAGAACTACAAATCAAGAGTGGTACGCTTTGCTGTCAACTTACAGGCCTTGAGGCTGCTGACAGATGCCTGTGACACTCTTCCTGTTTGTCAGTGTTTTCTAAACCTTGACTTTTTAAATACACGTGAGCCTTGGCCTTTTTAATCCAGTTTATCTTCTCTAAACCTTCTGTAAACTGTACTCAAAACGTATCAAAACAGTGAGAACACTAACAGTGTCACAACAGCAAAATAAGGTGTGTGTTGGCTCAGGGAAGTAAAACCTGAATGCTGATGTGTAGGGTAATGTGAAAGTAAGTAGGGCTTTCATAAATTAATAGAATTATGAATTGAAATTCATTTATGTGTGTGACACAGTGACAGAAAAAGGGTTAACAACACAATGGGTGGAATTACTCATGCAGTAGCTAGAAACAACAATGCTATCACAACTGTTTGGCATTTAACACATTACCTAACAGAGCAGAGCATGCTCCGATTAGCTCATGCTAGTGTGTTCAGATGTGTGTGCCAGTATTCATACTGTATGTCAGGCCAAGCACAAACAGGCACAACTGGCTGACAATGACATGGGGTGTTCAGAGATAAATCCTTGCAGATTTGATGCCCACTCACTGGGATGGATTACACAACTCAAGCAAGTTTCATAATGAACAAAAACATGTAAACTAAAACTCGTCAGGAGTGACAGCTCGTAATGAATCCAGAAGTTTAATCTCAGTAGCAGGCATTCAAAAATGGAAAGTAAACATTAAGGATGCACTGATACGGATGCCACTATCAGGTATCGGTTAAGATACTGAGCTTATGTACTTGTAATCATAAAACTACTCCGATAACACTTTACGGCAGGGTGACGTAACCTCAGCAATGTCAGCAGTCTGGAGATATTTTAAGCAACTTTTACAACAACATTAGCAACATTTGATTTGTTACATTCAGACAAAACATGATTTTAAAGTAATTGTTAGAACTGTAATGATATATCGCTATTGTATTTGGTATCGGTGCATTTCTAGTATACATAATTTGTATATGAGAACTAAAGCTTGCAAACACACTAGTTAGTCCAAGAATGTGTATAAATTACCACCTGTCACATTTGTATTCTTGCAAACAGAATTAGCAGTTCACAATCATTTCTATGAGCAGCTAAGCTAACATGCTGGTTCTTCCTCCCCTGGTGCTGCAGAAAAAGAGCCATTGTGCCCCCCCCCAGTCAGGAGGCTGCTGTGTGCCCGCTCCATTGTTCAGACGTCAATCGGAGGTCTTTGTCTGAGACAGGCCCTCCGTCTCCCCCTACGTGGGCCGACACGGCGAGCTGCCCCTAAACGCACATAACGTACAATAGCTTCTGGGGGATTGTCAACAATGGTTTACATGATGGGAGGGGTGTATCTGGAGTCCCAGCTGGGAATGCATAGAAAGAAGGTGACAGGGTCTCCTATCCATAATGTAAAGATCCACAGGTATTTTCCATATTGGACATTGAGCTGGTTCCAAAGAGAGTGTTATAGGGAACTAATCTGAACAAAAGACGGGTCATGAAAGCATATTAATACTGTAATATTCCACTTATACTGAGTGATCTGAGGAGACGTAGATCAATGATGAGAAGGGATTTAATAATCACTGCAATAACAATAATACTAATAAAAATACAATATTAGACTTACAGTATTGGGAGCATTAACGTGATGGCAATTTATTTATTGTTTATTTGTATAGGGACAAGGAAGTAGCATAATAAAATGCCACACACCACAGCATTTATAGCCTAAGCTAATTTGCAATGCCCGTCCCTAGATGGGCATTTAAGATACATTAAACTCTACAAATACACAAGAAGTATGTACATTAAAACAACTTAACATATGGACACAAACTTATACAGTAAAGCACCATAAATGCTTTAATAGACACACCATCGTTCGTACTCTTCAGGCTGAGTTTAAAACGACCCCAGCCAGGATCCAGTTTGAGTTCTGCAGGTAAGGAATTCCACATTTTGATCCCCCAAACACAAAAAGCTGTTTGTCCGAATGAGGATTTACGTAAGGGCACGTTACAATTCCCACTGGATGCTCCACGTGTTACTGAGCATGAAGCTCTGAGTGGAACCACAAGGTCACTGAGAGCCTGAGCAGCCGGGTTAGGTAGACATTTGTAGATGAGTTTAAAGATTAGCAAATTTAATTAAATTCAGAGGTCTGGAAACAGGATAATGAAATACCATAATTCATCATGTGTCTGCCAAAAACAGACATAACCATCATGTTCCTTAATGATTTCTTAATCAAATTCCCATACAATGTGCATCCCAATATACAGACAAATGAGAAATAACAGGAAAATTACGTGACTCATATACTATAACCTTCATATTCACCAGATCTTCAACACCTATTGCAGATTTTGGAGTAACGTATTGGACACAGTCTCCACCATGATCATCATCAAAGCAATGAATCCATATCTTCCATCAGCCAGTTCACCTTATGGGTTTGACTAAATGTGATTACTGATTACTAATGTCTGTTTCACGCCTTTTCAATCATTTTTATGATATAACATTATAAACAAAAACAGTCTCTAGACTAGTAATGTTTTCCTACTTGTGCTATTCTGTGTATTTCAATATGTTTTATTTACATTATGGTGTTTTCACTATGTTGTGTCGAATGTTGTCCTGTTGTCTGTCCTGCTGCTCTATGAGCTCACCAACTTCGTCACTTATTGTCGTTAATAATGACAATAAAGTTAATCCAGCTAAAATATAACAACTCAGAACTCGGATTTGTCTCATATTCAAGCATGTGTGTAACACTCAAGCTAATTGAAAACACACTCCTGAACAATGTGCCAATTATATATGTTCATCATATTTCCAACTGCATAACAGAGATATCACTTACAGTAAAAAAAAAACAACATCATTTTCATTCATTCAAGCATACGTCAAAGGGATATTTGTGTAACTATTATTATTGGGAGTGTCAGTCTGGCATGGTGGTTTTCATTTTCCCCACACCATGACGAAACATTACACACTGGACTAACAAACCCTCCGACATCACCGCCTGTGTTTGTGAAGCTGCACAGTTTAGACTAACACAGGCCGAGTATAAATCAGTGAAAGGCCCAGAGGTACCCTGGTGCTTTTCCCCCACCTCCGAGTTTATAAATAGCATCTGTGAATCATGTTTGTGTCGGTCATCATTTCATGGGGAATGGGTTCACATGAGGAGAAGAGAAGAGAAAAATCAATCAGTTGGAGCGTGTCAACTGAGATACAGGGTTGGCTGATCCATCTGCTCCACTCTCATTTAGGAGGATTTAAACGGACACACAGGACAGAGATTAGAGAACCTTATGGGTCATAATAGTCTCCTAGAATTGCTATTTATAGGTGCAAGGAGAGACTGAATCATATTTTATAATTGGTAACACAGCCACCTGTCTGTTTAAGTTTTCAATTCCAGACCAAAATGGGCAGAGACCCATCTGAAACCACTGGTTAGATAAAGGTTCAGTTTGAAGAGAGTCAAAGTTTAAAAGTACATAAAACTGGAAGCGAGGTCCATAAACACTCATGTGCAATAGCGCAACTGTCTCTTCATCATCTTATATTCCACCCTGTCATCTTTCTGTCCGTCCAGCTGTGAGGGGAAGTGTGTCTAAACTGGTCTGACCTGCAGTCCTGTGATCTCTTTCCAAAAAAGGACCCCTCCCAAGAGCCGCCAGGAAATAACAGAGAGAGACAGACAGAGCATAAAGAGGAGGTAGAGTA